GGCCGCGGCGGGGCCCCGAGAGCTTTGCTGCCCCCGGTGACCCCTCTCTGTGCATGTATTTATTTATTAGTCAGGAAAGTCCCCCTTCCTCCCCCTTTTTTTTTCTTTGCAACTTTTGACCTGAACGGATTCCAAAACCGAGGTTTTGGCACAAACCTTGAAATAACTGGGGGGGAATTCCCCATTTTTCTGCTTCAGGGGAAGTTGTTGGCCACGCAGTGAATGGGTATGAGTGTGGTCAGGAAACTGTTTTCCTGCCCCCAGAATTCCCATTTCTGTTGTTAACTTGCTGGGTTTTGGGAAAAGGGGGCGGATTCCTGTTGTGCACCATCCAAATACCAAAGTCATGTTTATGAAGGAATAACTGGTTCTCCAGCTCTTCCAACTTGAGCATTTATTATTATTATTTGCCCCTGTGTCAGGTTGCCTCAGCCAGAAGGAGAGAGGAGCAAAATAAAACTGAGAGAAAAGGCCCGAGCAGGGGTGGCAAATACACATGATTTTAGTCTAGATGCAAGCTTCTAAAAGAAGAGTTCAGTACAAACACTGAGGTGTATAGCTGGCAGAAGAAAATATGGAATAAATTCTTTGTAAACAGAAGCAACCAACAGAAAAAATGCATTTCTTTAGCTATCAAAAGTAGGTAAATTAATCTGTATAGTCACAGCAAGGTAGCGGATTAGAAGGACTATGATGCATGCCGCATGTCCTTAAGTTGGAGTGAATGTATACACACTGCAGGGGAACCCCGTGCTTTTGGGCAAGCCCAACTAAGTTACTCTGGTGTAGTAAAATATATGAAAAACGTGCATCATAAACCTGAACTCAGCACTAAAAGGCTCCAAACTGATTTCAGGAAGCCCGAAGCACTGGCTGTGATTGCAGTGTCTATAACTATTTATGTATTTGCGAGCAGAGTTTCCGCCTCAGTAACAAGTAGCACTTTCTCTAGTCGGCTTTTGTTTACGGCACAATCAGAAAGTAATAAAAAAGAAGATGGGCTGCTCTGTCAGATGAGCTGATCGACCTTAGCCGTGAGTTGGTGTTCAGCTGGAAATGCCCACCCGTGCCCGTGCACAGTGCCGCTCTACGGTGGGCCAGAGCTTTTGCTTCGGCTTCTTGAGAAGGCTCAGTAAACAAAGCTGAAAGACAGAAGCTCCTTATAAGGCGTCCAGTTTGGATGCGTACACTGCTCTCTGGCTGGAAATGCTGCTCCAGCTTCTCTTTCAGTTGGAATCATGGGCTTAAAGATGAGCCTAGACATGATAAGTCATTCTTGATTACACAACTATTCACCCGAGGTATAGAAAAGGCACTTATTCCTCAGCCATGAAATAGTTTCCCATTATATTATTAAAAATAGTAGGTACTGAATGTTGCCTGGATTTGTTACGACACTGTGATGGCTGTAGTGCAAGCTTCTCCAGTGACCCGTATTATCTTTGAGGTACTTTTAAAATTCCTCTTGCAATTGCAGGTGCAATCAATTTATAAGATTTAGAGGCTCTTATAAGAGATCCTCCAAAACCAGCCTAGTCAATCTCTGGCTTTGTTTTGTTACTCCTAGGTCTACTCTACTCTAGGTTACTCTTCTGGTCTTTTTCTGCAGTGTACAGAATAAGTATATCTATCCTCAAGCCTAAGTATCTGTAAATGTAGCAATTGCAGGGTTAAAAAAAAAAAAGTTTCTGATTATGTGAGTTACAGCTTTCTATCAAAGCATCTACCAAAAGCCCTCGCTCTGGGCTTGGCTATGCTAAACAGTTACAAGAAAATATTCGCTGCAGTACTTTGAATCGCAGTGCTTGTGCAAAAGTCTCACAAGGCCCTGGGGCAAAGGCTGGCAAACACGGAGCTATATCCAGCTCCCACAGGTATCGTGATCCCGTGGGAGATTCTGGCTGTTGTTTGCTAGGTAAAATTCTTCCAGGCTAGAAAATCAGATGTTCCCTGCACATCAAGTAAACACAGTTTCTTCTTCACATGGAAGCCTCTCGCTGCCCACCACCATTCAGCTAATGCTGGAAATGAGGAATGAGTTCTCCAGAGGCTGCCTGCTGAATGAGGCAGAGCTGAATAATAGAGAGGCAGTGATCCAAGTAACTGGGAAGCGGGAATTCACTCCTTGCATAGGGAGGATAAAAGTATGTCTTCAGCCATTCTGCCATCTAACCTTTAATCTGATGATGAAGGGATACTGAGGGGTGAAGAGCATGTGGTTATGTAAT